CAGCTCAGATCTTGGCTCGAAAAAGCTCAGGGGTATTATATTGCAAGCAGAAATTGGCGAAAATTATTTGAAATTTCTTTGACCGTAATGGAAAGTGCCGGATACCTGATATTTCCGAGGTACCACATACATTTTTTTTTCTATTCAAATTTACCTGCTTAGGCTACAAGAGATTTTTTTTTTTTTTGATCGTCTGTTCTCTAGCTCTCCACGGATTTCGACTGAAGCTTTCTTTGAAGATCCCTCTCAATTTCCCGTGAAATTGTTCAATTTGTTAAATCAGAAGCCCGTGACATCAGTCAACCATGCTTCTTTGGCTCCAAATCCATTTTGCATATCGATCGGCATAGCATGTTTTGTCTACTGCTGTCACGAATTTTATAATATCGTATCCGGGTCGAAACACGCATTATCACCTCAGAGTATGTAGTTTCACCGAATGAGAAAATTTTACCAGAACTAACTATCACCTTTTTAATCATCACACACTAAAGGCCATGAAAGTTGTATAATACCCATCTGGATTAGAAAGGTTAATGCGAAGCCTCTTCCTTCATTTTCTCATGATCCGAGAGCGAGCAAGAAACAAAGGATAAGCTTCTTATTGACAGAAGATTCCGGTCGAAGCCATATAGAAAGGGAAGAGGATGGAGAATCTGATTGTTCAGTAGCACAAGATGATCACAGGGGAAAAAATGTCATGAACGTCCGAAATTTATTAATTGATGATGACAAACCTGGATCAATGGAAGATCGTCAATTTAAAGAATGGCAAGGTATTTTATACGTAACATTATATAATGGCATTTTATTTTCTTAAATTTCAATTCCTTTGCTTGTTTCTAAACTTTCAGAGTCTTTTGATTCAACAAAAACATCCGTTAATGATGCAACTCTATACTTGGAACGTGCATCAAGTTGTTGGAGTAATCTGAAATCCATGGTGGAGCGTGGAGGAAAAAAAACGGACTTCCTAGATCAAGGTATTTGATTTATTTTTTTATTTTTCAGATGGCAATAGTTGTTCAGAAAATGGATTTCTGGGTATATAATCATATCCATTATTAACATTCACCAGAATTCGCAAGGTTACTCGATATTTGGAAACTTCCACTTGACATTTCAAATGCGGTTAAGTTGACACGTGCGGACGGCGAGCTTACCAGCGGAAATATCCAAGTGGCTTATACTTTTTATAGGGAGATAATGTCAAATATTTCCATGGCATGGGGTTCGCACCGAAGGAAAGAATCTCAAAAAGAACACCCGACATCCTCACATTCATTTATACCACAATCATCCAATGATAACACACCTGATCTTGCATGCGAATCAACCATGAAAGAACAAACACCTTTTATTCTACCTTTTCGCGTATTGTATTCGATTTCCACTCTTTACCGTATGATTGGTTGGTGGACAGAAGCTAGAGCAGAACTTTGCATGATTTTGGCCACCATACCGATCATTACCATAGATAAAAGACTTTCTGAACGAGATGATTGGTATATTGCTAAGATTCGGGATGACATGATCAGTGAAAAAAGCTATAGACTTCAAGGGCTTAAATTAGCGGAGATGACTAAGGAGGGTTTGGTAGTCAGAACAATAAGAGAGTTGATGACATGTTTCGAGGTGACTAAAATAATGACAATAATAATCTGTATTTAACGAATATTATCCTGGGTAAAAATTTAATTCTTTCCTAGAAGGAACTCGATTTTGCACAAGATCGACAATTGGACAAAACTATAGGTAATATAATAGTATTAATGCAGTTCGGCTGGCCCTACTGGCGTGATCGATTACGACTAGTGTTGTTACCGAAAATCAAAAGTCGAGGAGGATTGAAATATCCAGATATGTTGCGATTTTTATACAGTAAGTAGTTAATTTTTATTATTATTAAAAATTTAGGGTCTTCTCACTCAAATTAAATTCTATTTTAGATGTAGAAATACTCAGTGAAATGCTCGATCTTTATAAAAAAACGCCAAATATTGAATTCTCCTTTTGTCTGGACAACTCCCTACCCGCTTCAACTTCCGTATCGATAAAAGCCTTGGAAAACCGCATATCAAACTCTTTGGCATGTAACATCGGTAAAATGGCGGCAGAATTCTTTCGTGAAAGGTTAAAGGACGAACAAATCAATATTAACAGTAATGGTGTTGAATGTGAGGCGAACT